TGGTACAATTGTATGATCAGCAGCACATTCATGCTTCCCTTGTCCATCTTCAACCAATTACTGACTATATCAGTAGTCTGTACATATACTGAGTCCCTGAATATGGCTCATTGCTGAACCATAAAAATAACTTTTAAGTCTCTAGATGATCTGTGTGGATTGTATGTCATCTTCTAGATTGAAACAGATTTCAAAATTTTTAAGACATTGTTCCATTTTCTCATTTCCAGTGTTGCTGTTAAGTCTCATGCCATTTTGTTCATTCTCTTTACTTTTAGGGATCTGGAATTTTCAATAATGTGACAATATGAGCATCTTTTTTCATTTATTAGATTGTATTCTAATTGGAACCTTTTGGTGAAAAGGCTCATGTATTTCAGTTATGGAGTATCTTTGATCATTTTTTCCTGTTTGTTTTCTTTGCTCTTTCTAGAACTTGGTTATTTTGACATATTCATGCTCTAATCTTTAATTTTGCCTTATTTGGTACATTTCTTCAACATGATCTCTTAATCCCTTTTTAAAAATTTTTTTGGTGGTACTAAAGTTTAAATTCTGCCTCTCTATTGCTAGGCAGATGGTCCAGCACTTGAGCCACATCCCAACCCTTAACCCCTTCTTTTGAACTTTTTTTTCCCGTAATATAACAGGAGCTCTTATTGATCCCTGAATGTTCCCTTTTTATGGCATGCTGTACTTATTGCATGATTACAGTAATTTTTCCCTAAATTTTTTTTTTATGTTTTCTTTTACTTTTGCATCGTCTCCTGCTCAGCATCTCCTTTTCCATTTTTTTGACCCGCCTTTCCATGTTAAAGATTGTTCCTTATAACTATCAGTTTATTTTTAAGTGTGTGACACTGCAAGATTTGTTGAAATGAAGTTCCATGTGTGCTCAGGCTTGTTTACTGGTGTACCTCACCACGAGGTGAATGAAGTTGGCTGTTCCATTGAGCTGAGGCCATTCAAGTGTCAGTACATGAAGTCTCTTCCTGGGCAGCTGACAATTTCCAGAGTAATTTTCTAATTCTCTGCTTGTAGAATATGTTATAAATCCAGACTTATGTGAGAGACAAGCAGGGTCTTACAGTTTGGTCTTCAGGCATTTCTTTTACTCCAGGGCTGTCTCCAGGTCCAGAGCCTCTCTGCTGAGTAAGCACCTATCCTTTGATAGGGTAGGAGAGGGGAAGTCTTCCCCTCTTGCAGTCAAGGGAAGGGCCTGGGGAATCTTAACTGCTGTTAATAGGCTTTTCAGTTAACCCCGGATCTTCATCCCTGTTGCCCACACTGGCATTGTGAGATTTCCCTCACCTTTGTGGGCTCCCAGAATGTGTCACTTTAGTTTTTTATTGTGTGCCTCCCTGCAGGGTTTGGGTTTAGCTTTTCCTTAATTTTTTTTTTTTTTGGCGGTACTGGGGTTTGAACTTAGCGCATCGCACTTGCTAGGCAGGTGCTCTACCATCTGAGCCACTCCATGAGCCCTTTTTTTGTGTTGGGTGTTTTCGAAATAGGGTCTCATGAGCAACGTGCCCAAACTGGCTTCAAACTGCAATCCTCCTGATCTCTGTGCTTCCCAAGTACATAGGATTACAGGCGTAAGCCCCCTTGCGCCCAGCTAAGTAAGTTTTTAATTGTCCAAATTTTGATTGACTTCTCTTCCTGGAGTCTTCTGCCTTTATTGTCATTTTTAAGTAGGGTTGCCAGAAAAAACTGAGAACAAAGTAATGTTTAACCAGAACCAAGCTTCTTTTTATCATGCAGAAGTTTTATATTAGACTTAATATGAGTGAGACTAAGTTTATAATTACCTCAGTCATTCTCCTTTCCCATAGAAATTTTTCTGTAGTGGTTATATATTTTGGAAGATAGCACAACTGATAGTGGCTATTTTGTGTGTTGTGGATGGCTAGAGAGACTAATGTATGAAATGATTTTTACTATCCTGTAAGTACTGGAAGGCTTTGAACTACAAAAAGAGGTCTGCCAAATGGTGGAGAATGCTGATTGTGCTGCCTGGATAAGTGAGACAGCTTTTTGAAAAAAATAAGATAGATGATAACTTTATAATAGAGTAAGAACCAATGATGGAAGAGCAACTTAAGTACTTGTCAGAGAAAAGGGCAAGGAGAGGGAGGTAGGTTTGGAATAGGAGGACGATTTTTCCCAGGCAAGAAACAGTTTATATCTTGCATGCTTCATTCTGCTATACACATTATTTTACATTTTCATATTTCTGAAGTTAGCTAGGATTGATGTGTACACTTAATACTGGAGAATTTCTTTCTCCCTCCCCAAAGCTATCATTGAACGATTGGTTCATCTTTTAATTTGGGTGTCTTAAAAATGAAGAAATTAGCATGCACCAATGGCTCATGCCTGTAATCCCAGCTATTCAGGACATCAGGAGGCTGATGACTCAAAGCCAGCCTGGGCAAATAGTTCACGAGACCCTAAATTGAAAAAACCCATCACAGAAAAAGTGGGCTGGTGGATTAGCTCCAGGTGTAAGTTCTGAGTTCAAACCCCAGTACTGAAGAAAGAAAAAAAAAAAAAGTGAAGAAATAAGCCAGGCATGGTGTCTCAAACCTGTAATACTAGCTGCTTGGGGGGTGGAGATCAGGAGAATAGCAGTGCAGACCATCCTGGGCATAAAGTGAGGCCCTGTCTCAAAAATAACCAGTGCAAACAGGACTGACGAAGTGACTCAAGTGGTATCATGCCTGCCTAGCAAGCATGAGGCCTTGAGTTCAACCCCCAAGAAGGGCCAAAAAAAAAAAACACTGAAGTAACACCTATATCAGAAGCTACCTTTAACATGTACAGCAGTTAATGGGATAGGAATACAGTTGTCTCTTAATGTCTGTGGGAGACTGGTTCCAGGACACACTGACATATCCCAGAATGTCACTTTAAGGAATTTGGACTCTGTTCAGTAGGCAGTGTGACTGATCACAGAATTTTGAGGTAGAAAGGTCTGTGTCTTTAAGGGAAAAATCTTAAGGGGTTGAAACAGCAAGATTACAGTGGTGTCTACTGAGTCTCACAAGAAGGTAACTGTTGTGGTAGTAACATCTGTGATGCCGTGTATGTACTGTGTGGAAGTTCTCAAAAGAGTGAAAGAACTGGAAGGGATGTAAGCAGAACCTGAGCTAGGCTTTGAAGGGTGAGTAGGAGTAAAACATCAACTCTGTGGTAAACTTAAATTTGACATTAGTTTTATGCCACAATGTTGTGGATCCCCTTAGTATCCACAGTATATGATTCCAAGGAGGAAAAACCTCAGATGCTCAGGATGCATAGAGTTAATTTGGTACTCCAGACACTTGACTCATTTTTCCCATAATACCCCCAGCTTCTACTGAAGACACGTCACCTTTCAGTAAATCTACAATTTTCACTTTATCACTTAAATTACGCACATTAACTTTTACCTTGCTTTTGGGGGCACCATTTGCTTTTTGGAAGGCAGATTTTCACAAAATGACGGGCAAGGAAACACTTAGCAGATTACACAATAATTTAAACACAACTGACAATAATGTAGGAGTTTTTCCACATCAACTAACTAAGCTACATAATGCTCGCAGAAATTTAAAAATTTTATTTTTGAACTTTTTTTTTTTTTTTGACTGTGCTTGGTCAAACTGCATGCAATAAATCCATGAAATAAGGTGGGTTTACTGTATCTCAGTGACAAAAAAGCAAGCAGCCATTATTTAGCCTTTATTTCAACCAAATAAAAGCTGATTAAGCAAAGTAATATCTTGTTTCCTTATACTTGGTTCTTTCATTCATAAAAAGACTTTTTCTCTGTCTTCAAGTTTAGGGGATGGCATGTCAGGAATTAATTAAGCCCTGTAGTTATATGAAATAGTGAAAAATAGACCTGAGATGAGGATAAGAGGACAGATTGCAAAAATAGGGACATGTAAGTCTTAAGAGGAATGTATACTGTAACAACAACAAAAAGAACTAGTACATTAAAGTAAGGAGATACGGTTTGTAATTGAAAAACAACATAAAAGAAGGTAAAAGACTCACAGAGAGTAACAGGTGTAATGAACTAAGGTCCTCACCTTACAAAAAGAGGAATGACCAGGAAAAGGTGAAAAGAGATGTGTCCTGCTAGTAGGCTCTAGAGCATGCTGTGTCCCAAGGAAAATTTACCCAAGTAATGTAGATAGTGGTTCTCAGATACAGCAATTTCATATTGGTAATTACATTGGATTTTATAAAATCTTTTTATTTTGTTTATTATTGTTATTACTATTACTTGTGGTACTGGAGTTTGAACTAGGCAGGCACTCTACCACTTGAGCCACCTGGCCTAGCACTGGTTAAGTACTAGGAACTGGTTTATAGAAAGTACCAGCTATGGACTGTGGGTGTGGCTCAAGGGGTAAAGGACTTGCCTAGCAAACACAAGGCCCTGAGTTCAAATTCCATACCAAAAAGAAACAGAGCTAATGATTATTCAGCCTGGCACTATGATTTGGTTTTCAGTTCTGGTTTGAGAAATATTTTGTTTGGTATTTTTAAAAAGGAGGTGAAGCCCAGTAAAGATGTCACAGCAGTCATCGTCAGTGAATCAAATGCCACGGACTGTATATTTTATACAACCAAGATGTAAATAAAGTGAAATACGGGTATTTGCTGTCTATCAAAGAAAAAACTAAAATGTTCTGGTTTGAGAAATATTTTGTTTGGTATTTTTAAAAAGGAGATGAAGCCCAGTAAAGATGTCACAGCAGTCATCGTCAGTGAATCAAATGCCACGGACTGTATATTTTATACAACCAAGATGTAAATAAAGTGAAATACGGTATTGCTGCTATCAAAGAAAAAACTAAAATGTTTGATACAGTATCTTATGAAGTATAACTTGATATTTTAAGTCTTTAAAGGAGGGCTCAAACTAACCTTTTAAAAGATGACTAATGAGGGAGCCAGGCCACTGAATAATACATTTTAACACAGCTAATCATCTTTATATTGTGTAGTTGGCTGGGGAACAGACCAGGGAATCGGCGGATTCGGAGAAGAGCCAGGAATTAAATCGCAGCTAATGAACCTTATTCGATCTGTAAGAACCGTGATGAGAGGTAAGAGGAAAAACTTGTAGAGCACGCTGACGTTTTAATTTTGTGGCTTGATTTAAGTAGCAAAACTTCTGAATGTGAATGCTATTGCATACTCTTTTTGTAGTGGGAGGTTTTTACCCTCTCTATCTTGGCTTTACTCCTTGAAAGTTACTGGTGTCTTTCTTAGATTGCCTCTTACGTCTAGGTAAGGCAGTTGATGCAAATGAAATGCTTAGTGGTATAATCTGTGTGTTACTTGTCAGCGTGAAAGATAAGGTAATTTAGAAACTGTTGCTTCCGTATTGTAAAATCATCTAGAGTTGTGGAAGGTTTCCAAAAGAAAAATAATGATCCTATATCTGCCATTCTATTGGAAAATATTTTTGAGCAAATCAAGAAAGAAGAGTTCAAACACTTGTACTTAAACATTGTAATTAGGGCTTTTCTTTCAGCTACTTTAATGATAACTTTGGGTTCAGTGTTAATAAACTCATTTTTAATTTAGTGATGAAACTACAGAATCATTTTTGCACTGTATTTTAAGTCTCAAGTGTGCAGCCATGTTTATCTGCCTGTGTCCAGCATGCTTTTGTGCTCCCAGAGTTGTACCAACACTATCCACAGATGTTTCACATTGATCTAGTGTGCAATGTGACCCTCATTCCCAGTTACACAAGCCCTCTTTAATATAAAATTTGGGGTTTTATGGTACAGTAAATTTTTTTAAATGGTAGTCTGTTATAACTATGATGACATATTGAACATTTCTATCTTTCTCAGAATCTAGTTACTACTGCTTAATTTTTCCCTTATTTTTCTTTATATTAACAAACTTTTTTTTCCTTTTCAGTGCCATTGATAATAGTAAACTCAGTTGCTATTGTATTGCTTTTATTATTTGGCTGAACATCAGTGGGAGAAACAGGAAATCAGAAGATGAGATGCCAGCAGAAGTTATTACTTTGGTCATTGCTAGAACATTCATTTCTTAACAAGCTGATCTTGGACTTGGAAAAAATGTAAAGTTGACAATAAAACCAGAGTTTCTATTCATCTGATTTTTTTTTAATGTTGCACTTGTAGTTTCATTACAAAAAGATCAGATCTTCAGAGGTAGTAGTGCTCCAGGATTGAAATAGTTTGATTGCTGACTGTTAATAGTTCATGCTAGTAAAGATTGTCAAAAAGATACAGAATTTTCACTTTTGTTTTATTAGATATTTTTCTATCTCTCACTGCTCAGGGATGATTTTTTTTTTCAAAGTTTTGAAATTCCTTGTGACTTAGTTACAATGTGAGAGTGCTTATCCCTCCAATAAAATTTAAAGAATTTTAAAATAATTACTACATGTAAAAGATAAATAGGTAATTTGGATAATTTTGAATTCCTTGGTTAAATATTTAGTCTGGATAATGTCTCTGCTGTGAATAATTCAAACGTATAGATACCATAAGTGGCAATACTCTGATTTCAGGTAGAATTTGATTCTGTAAGTCAGTCACATGATGATTTTGTTTTTGTTGTAAGTTCTTTTATGAATTTATTAATTGGATGATTAGCCCATACTAGTATCTACGTCTTTATTGGTAGAAAAATCTATGTAGAAATAATCTGTGCCCTTTTTACAATGGTGACTTGTTTTATAAAATCAGCATAAATATTAGCCCACAAGAACAAACTTGAACAGTCACAATTAAACTATACTATATAAGAAGACTCTATTGTGAAGCATTTACCTCTCCCCCAAATTATCACACTTCCATTTCTTGGAGCAGGACACTAAAGGATGTGAGTCTTAATTCTTCATTCTGTCAATAGAACATTCATGTTAGATAAATTGTTTTATGTCTTAGACCACCTTGTAAGGTTGTTTGTTCATTCCATAATACAGTTTTATGTAAAACATTAAAACTTATGTAAATGATTTTTTGTGAAAACTTACGAGTTATAATATTTTAAAGGGGTAGAATAGCATCTTTGTTTATAGGAGAACTTTTGTAAATAAAGTTGGATTTTGAAGTCAAGCATTTGTTTTTGTACCTTAGCATAAAACTGTCAGGGTTAATCATATCAATCTCTATTTTGTGTTTAACATTCTTTGCTTAAAACTGCTGAGTAGAGATTTAATCAGAGTAAAGATTCACAATCATAATTTATAATTTCTTCATTGAATTAACTGAATTGCTAACATAATTCAAGAAGACTTATGAGCAACTTTTACTGCATAATTTACTTCTAAAACTGTGGAGCAGGTATTTAACACCTGTTGGCAATGCCTGAGTTAGAAGTGGGCTTGTACTGTGGGCTTCCAAATGGATCAAGGAAATATGCCAGGGCATTTGGGTCCTGTGAGAAACTAGTATTTTTGGTGCTAAGAAGTAGTGTTCTTTTGGCCTAACAAAGAATGATACATGAGTCCAAGTTTGAGCCTCTCAACAGATTTTCTTAAAAAGCAATTAATTGAGGGCACTCCCAATTGTTCACATGCTGTGAGTCATAAAAATTTTTTTAGGAGAGGAGAGATTTTGGTCTGATGCTGTTTTTCATGTAAGCATTATAATTTAGTGTTGGGCTATTGTCCATGTCCAAGCTCTACAGGATAGCAGTCAGAGCAGGGAAGGGTCATAGTATTCTGTAGTAAAGCAGTTCTGAGGAAAGTGAAGGACTTCACACCAGAATACTTCATCTCTGGAAGTCACTTCAACAATTCTGGTTTTAATGTGGCTGAAGGGACGTCAATAAGCTTTCACGTATTGGCACTGATTTCCCTAGGGGAGTTATGATTCAGAAACTAGAGTATCTTACTTTAGTAGATAGCAACTTAAGTGCCTGATCGCCTGCTCACATTCTCCCCCTTAACCATTCTCAGGCTTAATAATTTGTGATCACTCTAGATTCCAAATATCTTGGTCTTTAATGTGTTCTGGCCTTGTGTCTATGTGCCTTTGAACTGGTGTGAAGGGTCTTAGCACTACTCTAGATATTATCAAATCCATACCCTAGTACTTAATCAAGCACAGTGGTTTTCCAAACTGATTATGAACAGCAGAACCAGATTACAAAGGAATTTTAATGTAGAACTATAATACTCCAATATCTAAAACATGAGAGCAGGTCATTATTTTGAAGCAGGACTGTGGCCCAGTGGCCCAATGTTGATCCTCCCCTCCATTCATCATCATTCCCAGGGTACTCCCACAAAACCCTAGATTTTCAAGAACACATCTAAAAGTATCTTTTCAAAAGGCCATGTTTTACATGTGATAAGCATAGACAATGCAAATTGTGCTTCAGAGGTGTATGTAGTCACTTGAGTTTATATGTGTGTGCACACATTAGGAAACTACCTAAGAAGCAATATGTATGAATAGTAAGAGCAGGAGGCAGGATATTTCTGATGTCAAACAAAACCTTTTACCATGTAACTTAAGGCAAATAAACTTCCTAAGACCCTGGTAGTTTTTGGTTGTCTCGTCTTTAAAATTGGTCAATAACTTTTAGAACAAAAGCCTGACCTGGATGATTTACAAGTAGATCACTACTCTGACTTCTTCAGCTGAAGAGAGATTCACCTGAAGTTAAATGTTTCTGGTAAAGTAAATCACTTTCTCATTGATTTATTGGTTATTAGCAAAAAAAATTTTGATACTAAGAAAAATGGAATTCTTTGCTAAAATTTTCCTTGTCCCCTGATTATTCATTAAATGTCAGTACTGTGAAAATCTGTAAAGACCTGGGACACAGTGGCCAATGTCCAGGGGTATAAATGATCAAGATAAGTTTTAGAATCCTACTGAGACTATTTCAGTTCCTATCTGCTTTATGTCTTCTTCATTCCTTCATTGGGTCTTTTGCCTTATTCATCCCCTCTTGAAGTTCTGTCCATTCTTATCTTGCTCTTTGGCAAGCAGAGTTTTGTTGATGAGGAAACCATTAGCTCTGACATAATAGGGAATGACACCATGATGTGCACTACTAATTGCACAAACCTAGTAATTATCTTGAGGCCTTCTGTTCTAACCTATCACCGATTTCAGACATTTTTTTTTTCCAAGAAAAAAGTCCTTTATTGTCTTCAGAGCTGTGGTAATAGAGCTGGGGTCCTAGGGTGACTCAGGTGGGATTTCCCCGGACTTGGTTGTAGAGGAGGATGGCACCTTTGGCCGAGGGGCAGAGCTCCATTCACATCTCGGTCCCCTGCAATCTCTGTACCTTCTGTGTCTCCACAATCAAGATTCCTGTAGACTCATGGGCCTCATCCCCACTCAGGTAGTAGTTCCTCACCTCTTCAGAAGTCAGGCTCCACCAGATGTAGAACTCAGCACTGGCCCTGCCAGCACTGGTCTCATTGCGGGCGATGCCCAACAGCAGGGGCTGGCTCAGGGTGGGCAGCAGCAGGTTCACCTGGGGCAGGGGATCCCATCTGTCAGTGTCCACTTCCCACATCTACCCCTGTCAATGGAAGAACATCCTATTACCCTTACCCTTACACAGTATTTTGCAGGGTTTTTTTTCCAGACATTTTAAAGTAAGTACTTAGAAACTGTCTTTATTCAAAAGCACTGACTACTCACATGGGCCCACAAGTCAACTAAAAGCAGGATTAAAAATCTCAAATCTCTGCCTCTTTTGCAACTGTCTCCTTTCTTCTGAGCCATTCTCACTTTGGATTCTTAGAAAGACAGGACTAATGGGTAAACATTTTGTGACAAAAATCAAATCTATACTCCAGGCAGCACTGACTTGATAATGCTGAGATGATCAACCAGACCACACTTGACCAAAATTTCTTAGTTATGCATACCTCTCATCCCCTCTTCCCCAGTTCTTCCTCTAAACCTATAGCTCACCTCAGTATCCCAAATATGGGCTGAAATGTTCACTTTCTCTCTTCCTGGGGCTATGTTGAATAAATCTTTCTCTGTCCTTCACTACTTTTGGTGGTTGAATCTAGTCCATTGGAACTCTTGGAGCTGGAGCCCTTGCCCTAAAACTGGTAACATTTTGCCTTCTATCTCTTTGATCTGTTCTCTGCTTTATTTCCACACATTCTAGTCAAAGCATCTCTTGTAATCCCGAAATATCCTTTTTTCTGGTTTCATCCATTTTTGCACCTCTCTGATCCATTCTCTATATTGCCACCAGAGGAAGCAATTAGAAAAAAACGTGTTTAATAGTATCCGCTTGCTGAAATTCCTTTGGTGGTGTTTAAATCTGGTCAAAGACAACTAGTTCGGGAAGGGATCTCGGAACAAGTGTTCTTCAAGTAATCAGGCCTGCATTATACTTAATATGGGTAAGGGAAAAAAAAAAAAACCTTCAGACCCAATGGTTAGGAAAAGTAGGCCTCTTGTTGGACACAAGTTTCAGCTCCAACATGACTGAGCTGACTAGCATTAAGCAAGGGAGGGGATGCTGGATGGTGGCCCAACAGCATGTGGGTCCCTGGTCAAGAGCAGAGTAGCAGCCTTGTCGAAGGGTTTCATACATGTAACCAGAGTGTATTTTATCATGTCAGCCTGCTTCGCAAAGCTGTTCAGTCATTTATATAGTGAACACTTAAGAATGAGCATGTTGGCTCCCAATTTATTTGACTCAAGAGGAGACAAGTAGAGATGCCTAGTGTAGGAGGGGGCGGTGAGGAGGCTGTAAGTGTACCAAGATTTTGCTCCCCTAGGAGCAGGTAGGGAAGTTGCAAACGAGGGTTTGGGGAGGCTGATGTGAAAGACAAGGGATGTCGGCTGCTTGAGGTATGATTAATGCGGATAGCAATAAATGCCAGATGCAGTCCACATAGCAAAGGAGGAAACGAAGATTTCGGAGACTGGATGTTACAAGAAGTATCAAGGAGATGACTTGTGAGCCCTCGGGAATGGACAGGAAACCCAGTGAGGCAAAGTTCCTCTCTAACGCTTAGTTCACAGTTGGCCCTGCAACGATGCTGAGTGAGAGCAGGTCTCCAGAGCCTTTTTCTCACCTTGGGCATAGGCTAGGAAGCGTCCGGGCGGAAGACTCCCGTCCGGGCGGAAGACTCCCGAGTCCGGGATACTGAGCGGAAGATCAGCGAGAAGGGGGGCGGGACTTCCGGCGAGGCAGAGCCCGGCGTCCGGCGTTAGCTGCAGCGTCTGGAACGCTCGAGGCTGTGCGGACGGCGCGGCGGGGCCGGGCCCTTCCTGAGAACGGCGTGCGGGGAGTGGGGGTGAGGAGCCACTGTAAACGGAAAAGGTGGAATTGGGAACGGTAGCCTTTTGGAGGCGGCATTTCTTATGAGAGGGTTGGGGAAATGCTGGCGGCATCCCTAGGCCACCACCCTGCTTCGGAGCCTGGGCCAAACTACGCGCCCGCCCTGAGAGGACGTCGCCCAGATAGTGACCGCCCTTTGGCCACCAGCGCGTGCGCAGCGGGGCGCCGGGCGCTTCCTCCGGTCCTACGGACTGTCCTGAAGTTCCCCGGGGTGGGTGCTGAGTACGTGGTGGCTTTTCCTCGAAACTTGGCCCTGGACTATCATTCCACGTCAGCGTCCCTCCGGGTCACCCAGGCATTTATGTGACCCTGGAACTTGAGCAGGGCTAGAAGGCAGCGGTATAGGCTTCTGCCACGCCAGAGATAGCGAGGGCCGCAGTCGACTTGGTGCGGAGAGATCCCTGTTCTTAAGATCCCCGTGCATAGAGACCGGGATTCGCCGGAGTCTTTATCGAGCACCTGACGCAGTGGAAAGGGCGACACGGTCCTGTGCTCACAGAGCTCAGCAGTTAAGTAGGAGAGACAGTCACGCAGGCCAGGACAGGGTGGCAGGTATAATGAGAGCGCAGAGACACCTAACCTCGCGTGAAAAGGAGGTGGATTCAGAGGCTGGCCAGAAAAAAATGGTGCTTATCTGAGGCTGAGGACTGGAAGATTTGGCCAGGGGAGGAAGGAAGGTGGAGAGGGGTTCAGACAAAAGTCCATCTACGAGGGAGTGAAGTCTAGGACTGTGGACAGACTGCAGTGCCTTGGAACTTGGGCGTGCATGTAGAGATCAATAAGTAGGAAAGGTAAAGAAGGTTCTGTACACCAGATTTCATTGTAGAGACTTCAGCCTGAGTTCCACTAGGAGATATTTAAGTGGCAAGTGAATGAATAATATTACTGGAAAACTCAGACCACACAGGAAAGGAAAGATTTTTTCTTCAGGACAGCTAAGAGGCATGTTCTGAAGAACTCCCAACTTCCCAGGAGAAAATTTGTATTAAGTTTTGAATTATATGCCACAATATGTATTTTAATGCTTTCTCAGTCCCCCAAGTTATATTAATACCTTAGGACTTTGCATCATTTTTATCCCTGATTTTTATAGCCCTTGACACATCATCATGAACTCTCCCCTCTTTCGTGCCCTACCTACAAATACATAACTCTGCTTTTCCAAGTGTAGAATACTATTCACAATACTTCACAGGTATTACTTTCATTAATTCTATCATCAGCCATTAGAGGTAAGTTGCTATTCTTTCTACTTTAGCAATGAGCAAGTTCAGGTTGGCAGGATTCATACCTAGGCATGTCTACCTCCCTTGTTTTACCTAACCACTGCACCGTTACATTCAGGGAATAATTTGGGGCTGGAAATAGGCCTAAAGCAGAGAGGACATTTAGCAAATTGTTGAAATAGGTTAGATGAGAAATGATTTTAAAACAAAGGTAGTTTTAGTAAAGAAGAGAAGTATGAGTAGATTTCAAGACTGAAGGAAGTGGAACTGACTGCCTTTGGCATTTGGATTGCTGCTGCTGTCATTTGCTCACTGTTGCAGGGAAAAGAAAGCAGCTTTGAGGTTGAAAGTGCTGGTTGGATTGAGAAGGCCCTGGGATAGTCAAGGGCAGCTGTCCTTTGAAGTATCCTGAAGAGTTACTCTTAAAGTGAGAAAATACGCTTTTCTTCTTTGCATTGACCTCCATTGTTGTTTTGGCTCATCTAAGGGATATCTTATATAACTTACTCAAACTGGGAGACAGTGTGCATGGACCCAAAGTAAACAACACCAAAAAATGGACTACCTCTGAAGCTTTTATAATTCTTTTCAGAATAATTCTGGTATTAAAACAACCATTGTGTTTGTACTGAACATGTACACTTTTCCTTGTCATTATTCCCTAAACAGTACAGTATGATAACTATTTACATAGCATTTATACTTCATTAATTGTTAGATGTAATTGAGAGGATTTAAGTTATATAGGAGTATGTGTCAGTTGTGTGCAAATATTAGGCCACTTTATTATATAAGGGACTTGAGCGTCTGTGTGTTTTAGTATCCACAGGCAGTCCTGGAGCCAGTCATCTGAGTATACTGATTACTTGCACATTATATCAAATATAAACTTGTCATTTAAGTAGCACGTATTATAAAGGTTCTGAAAAGAATAGAGATTATGGCAGAAGTGGTCAAGGCCTAGTGGGACTAGAGAAGTAGTATATTTTAAAGTTCAAAAGGGACACCTCATTTTGTTCTTCCAAGCCTCAGTCACCCTCAGACATGTGATACTCCAAAAGGGCATTTTGAAGTCTGAAGGGTATGTTCAGTGGAGCTGATGAAAGCAAAGAATACAAACTTTTTAAAAGTGTTTTGGTAAATTAAACCTATGTGGATGTTTTGATTGGGATTGAAATTATTAGTAGTTGTAAATTATGATAGATCCCTGGCTCTAGTTGAACAGTTCTTTTAAAAATTACAATTCCTGCTGGTATTTTCCTTGTTTCTATTTTGTTCTTTCAAAACAAAGCCTTCACCATTAACATTTTTATTGAATATTGTCTCATAAAAGTTCGATTTTAAGAGAAGCAATTTTACATTCCTATCTATATAAGTCTTCATTTGGCCCCCTCCCCTTTTTTTTAAACTGTTACCCATCCAAATAGAGACCCTAGAACAGCCTACTGTTTTAACTCACAAGCTGTTCCCCCTCTCAGACAGATAATAGTTGATGCTGCTGTTGTAATCCTTAATTTCAGGGTCACAATAAAGATCAGAGATAGAATAATATGAGGACTATTATAAAAGGGAGGGTTTTGCACTTGAACCTTGATTAATCAGAGATCTTGATGTCTTTCTTTTCTCTTTTCATCTGCACCTTTTTCCCCAGCAGCTACATTATAAAAGACAAACAATCAAGTTTTTTTCTTATACTGACAATGCCTTGGGGTGGGAGTTTTTAATGCTGAGTGTATAATAGGACTAATTGGTTATAGCTATCTTAAATGAGACATGACTGGCTAAAATATAAGACTAATTTTTATACTGTGGAATATATCATCTACACAAGAGTTTGTGACACACATGTAAGTTTCTGGTAATTGTAATGAAATAAAAGCACTCATGTACTCACTTTCTAGGTCAAGAAGTAAAACTGCCAGATCTTAGACGCTCCCTTTGGTGCTCCTCCTAGTTTGCGCCTGTTCCCTGTCCCCTGGAGAGTATAGGTATCCTAGCTCTTTGGTAATCATTCCCTTGCTTCTCTTCATAGTTTTATCACCTACACTGCATCCCTGTTTTTGAATGCTGTTGTGTAAAACCATAGGAGTTGGGCCCCAAGGAGATAAGCAAACTCATGTGAAGAGAAAATCAAGGCTCTGGGGAGTAATACCACACATTGATTCTTTGAGCTCAGTGTAGACTATAGATTATAGATAGATAGATAAATAGATAGATAGAGGCTTCATCTTGCCTTCCTGCTGTATGTATTGAAGAGAAATGTAGACTCAGGAATGGTCAACAACAGCAAACAATAAATTTGAGGTGGAACCGGGACCAATGTCTGGGCCTGCTGACTGCCAGTCCTGAGCTCTCAGTTCCATCTCAGGGAGCTAACTAGGAGGGAGAGGTCTTCCTCCGACCTGTCATTTGTCCCAAAATAAGATACCATAAATCACCTGGAAACCCCCTTTCCCCTGTCAGAGCTTTCCCCCAAAATCTTAGTAATTGTTGCCTTATGTCTTCTAGGGTCTTTCTAGCTGAATTTTAACCTTTGCCTCCACTTGTAACTTTAAAGGAGGTGGCTCTTTCAGCTTTGTTACACCAGGGCTAAACACATAGTGTGGGTTTGGTAAATATTTGCCACTGAGTGTAGTAGGTCACTTCTACAATCCAGCCATATGAGAAGAGAGATCGGGAGGATCATGGTTCAAGGGCAGCCTGGGCAAAAAGTCATTGAGACCCCATCTCAATCAATAAGCTGGGTGTTTTGGTGTGTGCCTATCATCCCAGCTACACAGGAGGCCATAAGTATGAGGGTCATGGTCTCGGGTAAGCCCTGAGTAAAATGCATGAGACCCTACCTGAACCGTTTTTGAGACCACTCAAAAACGGGAGTGTGGCTCAAGTGTTAGGGCACATGCCTGGCAAGTGCCATGAGTTCAAACCCCAGTGCCCCCACCACAAACAAGAAAATTTGCCCTATATAGATTAAAGTGCATAAAGCACTTTAATAAAGGTAAGGACACGCATATACTTCAGACCCAGCAAGACCCCAGAGAAATGCTCACGTGTGTCCACTGTGAGATATATAAGGATGTTCACAGACGTGTTCTGTGGTAAAATAAAATGTTTTAAACTATCCAAATGTTCATGATTAGAAGAATAAATTATGGAGTATTTACACAATAGAATACAGGAGTGAAAATAAGTGAATACCTGTATTAACATGGACACATCTCACAGAGATAATGTTGACTAATGAAGCAAGTTGCTAAATGTACACAGAATACCATTAGTACAAGATTCTGAATATATAAAAATCAGGAGGGCAGCTACCATAGGAAGGAAACTCAAAATGGCAGAAAGTAGAGGGCTTCAACTATATCTGTGTCTTATTTCTGAAGGTGGATGATCAGTAAAGGGGTGGTATATTTTCCTTGATACCTTTTGTGTATGTCTGACATTTCCTTATAAAAATAACCAAATAGGAAAAAATTAATAAGTAGATTAATTTAAGAAGCTACAAACCATCGGGGCATTAGTGGCTCACACCTGTAATCCTAGCTACTTAGGAGGCAGAGACCAAGAAGACCATGGTTCTAGGCCAGCCTGTGCAAAAGCCAAGACCCTATTTTAAAAATACCCAACACACAGACTAGTGGCTCAAGTGGTAGAGTGCCTGCCAAGCAAGTGTGAGGACCTGAGTTCAAACCCCAGTATTACTCAAAAAAGAAAAGAAAATGAAACTATAAATCAAGTCTCATCTTTCTTAGCTCCCTTACTAATAATATTTAAGTCATATTTATCTTATACTGTATATCAGCTAAGAAAAGAGAAATTATTTAAAGGGAAAATATGCAAACGGGAAGTTGTACATTGTAAGGTAAGGAAAGTATCTCCCTACTTTAAAATAAGTGTTACTTGAAATTTCTACCTTGGTTACCTGTAAACACCAGTAGCTCCCTGGCCACATATGCCATTCCAGCATATAGCAGTGGGGATGGGCAATTAGAACATTTTCATTGTACATAACCAAAGATGATGAAGGCTTGTTAATGTGGAGCTTCCACCTGTGCTTCAAAGTTTATTATTCTTGTACTTAAAAGTGTGAATGATCTGTAAAAGTTACTTTAAGAAATGAAAGTAAATAGTAGCATCTCTTTTAGCATTTCCCCTCCTGTAGTTTTGATTAAAAATTAAAAAAAAAAACGAAAGTAAGCATTATAAAAGTGTTACGGATCAAATTTTTGGTTTTTGATTTTTAAAAACATTTTTTTCTGAAAGAGGAGTTTTAACACTAAGCAGTATCTTTTCTGGATTTGAATTATATTTTTGAAGACTTACCAGTTTTTAATTGTCCATTGTTTCCTAAACTGTATTTTTAATTTCATTTGCTCTCTCCTAGGAATGAAGGATGGCAGCACGCCGCACATTAAAAGCTGTTTTGGTGGATCTCAGTGGCACACTTCACATTGAAGATGCAGCTGTGCCAGGCGCACAGGAAGCTCTTAAAAGGCAAGCTATCCTCCAGGTTCAGCTGACAAATATGTTTGTATGTGCCATTTCACCAAGGCAGATCATTAGCTAAATGGATGGCCTTAAGATGGCATTTCACCAGCTTACCATATATGTAGGCACTGCCTTGGGTTTAGCTAGAAGATGTATGCATTGTAATATTCTCCAGACATTGTTCTCGAAGCCTTTATTAGATTTGGCCTTTTGCTGTAATCTTTTTGTTCTCTGTGTGTGTCATTTTCTAAGTTAGTAATGTAAATTTAGGAATGAAAATTCAAACTAAACTGAAATAAATAGCATTGGAAAAATCACAAATGAATCCTGGAATCCAAATACATGCAGGCATAGTTCTGCCTCTTTCTGCTTCACCTAAGATCTGACACTGAATGTGCAACTGCCAAAAACAAAGTTTAACTCTCAAGGTCAAGACAGGAGGACTATAAGTTTGAGGCTGAACTGGGTTACATGAGACACTCCCTCAAAAAATAACTAAATTAAAATGAAACTTGGTTAAAGGGCTTGAAATTGTAGAATTATTTCCATCAACTAAATGTGATCCTTCCAAAGATTAGGGACCATCTTAAATATTTTATATTTAGTTGGTATGCCAATTAGAGTACTAAATACAAGTCTAGACACAAACTGGAGATACACAGTGAACATGAAATGACTGAAAGTTTGCTTCTCGATGTCCTGAAAAAATATCAATACACAGAATTAATAACTGGTATTTAAAAAATTAGAGAGCTTTTCAAAATCAGCAGTACTTAGTATTGCTTGTCATTCTCTGATCTTAAAATGTTCACTGTATGCTATTAGTCAGAAAATCTGCTGACTATCGCAGTGCCAGGTGTCAGGGAAAAGATTGACAGAGACTGCACCATCTCTCAGCCTACCTTCCATTTGGAGAACCAAGAAGTATAAACAGTTGTATATATCTGGTAGGCATCATTTGGAAGCTTTCAATTGCATTAGGAGTCATGACGTTCATTTTAGAGGTAGTAACACATGGTAGACATTGTATTACTTAAAGCCAAAAGAGAGTCAGGTACACAGCTAGACTTTCACTTCTTGACACAGTCTGTCTCTGAGTTAGACTTTCTAGGGGTAAGGAGGGATGTCCACTAATCAGTCTTTCCTGAGGACCAAGCTCTTACAGCATTAAAGATGAGCTTTCTTCTCTGGATTGGAAGAAAACCCTTTTTTTTTTCCCCCCACATTGGAAGTGGCACTTCTGTGGAGCGCTGTAAACCATGAGCCTGCCTTTCCAAGGGGCAGGAGCCTGTACATTGTTCTGTGCAGGCCCTGGCGGATTTCTCTCCTAGAGAAATCACTACTGACACTGCCAGTTTGGTTTCTATAGAAACAGATAGACTAAGGGAAGTTGAGGACTTAAAACAAAAAGTTGGGTGTTTTTGGTTTTTTACCAAAGCTCATTAAAAATTATGTGGTTATTTCATATTTATTCATTTTTAGGATAATAGCTGTGTTGAAGTAATCAATTTCTTTTGCAAGATAAACCACCAAAGTTAATGTGTTTTGCAAAAAAGCTACCACACAGATGTTATAGAGGTAATCATGATTACAGTGAATTTAGTCATACAAATTTATTTAATGTTCTTTGGGTGAATACTTAAAAATCTCTTTTCTGTTTGCTTTGCATAATTGTAAATTATGGTTAGTGCTTTTATGTCTTATGGTCCTTTGGGGCAGGCATCAAATAAAATGCAACAGGCTATTAATACAGAATCTCAAGTGGTAAGAGCACTTGCCTAGCAAGCATAAGGCTCTGAGTTCAAACCCTAGTGCCACAAAAAAAAAAAAACTACCCCAGAGTTTTTAATTCTAAATTTAAAAATAAAATTGTATTTAGAATTTGGACTAAAACACTATAGAACCAAAAACATTTTCAGTTTTAAATAATCACAGTCTATCTGCTATCTAATGTTTAGTTTTCAAAAACAGATTATGGAATCAAATCAATCCTGTGTACAGTTCAATTGAAACCCACCCTTCTCCCCTTCTCCCCCCTTTTTTTCTGAGACAAGTCTTCCTGTGTAGCCTAGGCTAATCTTGAACTTACAGCCTCCAGCACGCTGGGATTATGGGTCTATGCTACCACTCCTGACTGGAAAACCCATTTTGATCTGCAAAAGCGGAATGTTTCTTTAAGCTCTCCTGGTAGTTTCTGTTTATAAATTTAGTAACTTATTAAGCTTAACCAGTATCTAATAACATCTTGGGGCAATTATTCAATGTCCCAGGACACAGAAAATTCTTGTCTTAGCCTCACTGCTACGTAGGTCTATAAAGTTAAGCTGGCAAGTCATTTAACTCCTAGGCCTCACATTTAAGAGGAAAGAATTGCACTAGTAGATAATCTCTAAAATAATTTCTGTTGCATGTGGTGGCACACACCTGTGATTCTAGCACTCAGGAGGCTGAGGCGGGATCATAAGTTCTAGGCCAGCCTGTTTCATAGTGAAACTGTCTCCAAGAAAAAAAGATAAAAGATAACTTTCACCTCTTATATTCTACCAGTATAGTGGTGTTTCATTTCTTCACTAAATTCTGAATGAAAGGGCATTTAGCATACAGAACGCCCTCAAAAAGGATAGAAGTAGTTTTTCCAGTTTGCCTTTGCAACTGTTAGAGGTGAAACTGCCCACAGGGTATAGATAATTGGTAAGCATTCTGGGCAAATTGAAAAAAAAAAAACCTTCTCTATAAAACTTAGTGACTTATCCTTCATCTTCTAACATTTAGCTTAGTTCTACCAAACTAGGAGATTTTATGGGCCAGAATATAAAAGCTATGTGTTGACTTCTCAATTTTACCTTTCCAGGTTACGTGGGTCTTCTGTAATGGTTAGGTTTGTGACCAACACAACAAAAGAGAGCAAGCAGGATCTATTGGAAAGGTTGAAAAAACTGGAGTTTGATATCTCTGAAGATGAAATATTCACATCTCTAACTGCAGCCAGAAGTTTAGTAGAACAGAAGCAAGTTAGGCCCATGCTGCTGGTTGATGATCGGGCACTGCCTGATTTCAAAGGTGGGAGAAATTTGGAGATTTTAAAATAAGTTCTGTATATCTACTTGCAAATTATTCAAGGAGGTATTCATTCTGCCCAGGTGTGGTGGGGTGCGCCTGTAATCCCAGAACTGGAGGTAAAGGTGGTGGGATCATAAGTCAAAGCTAGCCAAGTCTACATATCAAGTTCCAGGCCAGCATAGCCTACATAATGAGACCCTATCTGGAAAAAAAAAACAAAACAAAAGAGGTGTTTATTCTGATTTCCCTCTGTTCTGATCGAAATGGCCCATAGTACTAACAAAAGTCTGAATCTGAATTCAGGTTTCTGAAACACCATCCACATAATAAGGGAAACATTACAAAGTACAAGTGTGTTTACATATGTTAAATAATACCTATTGTATGAGATATGCTGTTTTCTGTTTGGTTTACTTGTTTGATTTTTGAAGCTACTTAGAGCCCTCCAAATTAGTTTCATAACCTACTAGTGGATTCTGATCCACAGTTTGAAAAACATGTAGGGAAGAATTACTTTGACAATTATAACCCTGAGTCTAGAAACTGTTCTCTTAACCTGGAAAAAAAATAAATCAAGGCCTCCTTAAAAATATATGTCATTCTGGGTAGTATGAAGATTTTAAAATGTATATAAAGTATTTCACATTTGGTGAAGAGAAAATTGTTTTCTCTTTGGAAAATGTGACTATAAAATATGACATTATAACTTGATGCAGTTTTTCCCACTGCTTCTTTTTTGTAACTAATAGAGTGAAATGGCACAGTACACAAAAATGAATACGAATTCATTTATTACAAAACCATGTGATAACATGTACATTATTATTATTTATAAAATACAGAAAACACCTTTGGCTGAATTACACTGAAAATAAATATTAAAAGGATCTGAGTACTGATGGGAATATAAAATAACAACTCCTATGGAGAGGACTTGGCAATAGCCAGCAAAATTACATATGAAGCCACACTACCTCTTAGATATAGTTACATAAGTATGGAGTGACATGAACAAAGTTCTTCATTACAGCCTTATTTGTAATAACAAAGGTTGGAAACAGCCTAAATGTTCATTGGAATGATTGGTTGAATCAAGTATGTTATATCCACAAAATGGAGTGCATCATAGCTAAAAAATAAGTAATTACAGAGTTCTGTCTCCTAGGATGGAGGTGTGGCTCAAGTGGTAGAGGCCAAGGCCCTGAGTTCAAACTCCAGGTACCACACACATACCAAAAAAAAAAACTATATATATACATATAGCGTTTGTTCTTTCCTAACTCCTATCTCCTCCAAACAAACAACTCGGGGGAGTTCTATTTCCTGAGAAGAAGTGATCTTCATAGGATATATTAAGTGAAAATGTAAGGTTTACAAAATCTTACACATTTTCTATGTAGGAAACAGATGTCATAATGTATTTGTCTTATATTGGTAAAAAGAAGCCAAAGAAAGATAAATGAAAAGGTAATAAAATTGGTTCCCTACTAGGCATGGTGGTACATGCCTATAGTTCTAGCACTCGGAAGGTTGAGGTAGATGGATCACAAGTTCAAGGCTAGCCTGGGGTATTTACAGAGATCCTGTCTCAAAAAAAAGAGGGGGTGCAGGAAAGGGGTGGGATCAGGAGAGGAGCCTTCTGTAAAAGTACCCTGTTATATAATTTTGACTTTGGAATGATGTAAATATTTTACATTATTCAAAGACCATTATAGAAACCAAACTAGTTCCTGAGTATGGTAATCTTCGTAACCCAGACAGGGCACAGGCACACAATGTGCTTAATTTAAGTCAGAAAGTAAAAATGTTAGATTTATTGAAAGGCAGGCATGTTTTTAGCAGAGGTTGGGCAGTGTTAGGGGAAAAATAAATCAAGCATCTGCAGTATTCAAGATAAAGAGCATGAAATATGATCTAGTTTTTGGTGAGCAATATTAACGTAAAAAAGTAATTTTTTGTGACAGTAATGTAGCCTACTCCATGTAGTTCCAACTTAGGGATGCTTAGACCTACTGTACGTACTGTATAGATAAATTCAAGTAATTTTAGAGCACTGAACTTTTATGTATGCTGAGCATGCGCAGTTTTCCCCCCAAACCAGTGGTCTCCTTAGAACCATACCTTCAGATGCCAAGTGTTTACTGTAATAAGAAATTTTTATTATTTATTTTTATTATAATAAATGCATAGCATTACTTATAAAATAAATTGCCTAAAAATTGGGTGTGAAACTATGAAGACTCTTTATCTAATTACCAGTATACAGGAAAGATAAAGATAAAGGAATAAATTCAATAATTAAGACAGTCAGCCAAAACTTCAGAATGTGGGAGCTCCTCCAGGATTAATGATCTAGTTGCACCAATAAGTGGGGGAGAATGAAGTTATTGAATGAGAAGTAAGAAATAACAGTCAAATGCAACCTAGGGCTTTGGGGGATGCCAGCTTGTGGTACCAGATGTTAAAAGACATTTTGAGACATTTGGGGAAATTCATCTGTGGACTAAGTATTGGGTAATAACTTTTAAAAAAATTATGTTAAGATTTTAAATCCTTATTAAGGATATGTATGAAATGTGAAGGAGTGAAATGACACAATAGCTGGGATTTGCTTGCTTGCTTTATTTATTTATTTACTTATTTATTGGCAGTGCTGGGGTTGGTCTCAGAGCTTCATGCTTGAACCACTCCTCCACCCCTTTTTTTTGTTTTGGGTGTTTTCAAAATAGGGTCTCACAAACTACTTTCTCAGGCTGGCTTCAAACCGTGATCTTCCTGTTCTCTGCCTCTTTAGTAGCTAGGATTAAGGTCCGGCTAAGCATTTCCTTTAGAAAGTCTTCCAAAAATAATTGGTACAATATTAATAGTTGCAAAAGCTGAATGATGGGTACATCAGGACTTGTAATACTAGTCTTTTTTTTTTTCCTATAATTTTGGAAATTTCCAGGGTATAGAGAAAAAGGTTATTGGGGTAGCCCACAGAACTGCCTAGGAGAGCTGGAGAATTAGTGTTAGGGTCTTTGCAGCTAGGAACAATGTGCACCATCACCCACAGAACTGATGAGGTGCCACTGATGTCCCTAGCTAAGCCTGTAGACCTCCACAGGCACTACTGCCTCCAAATCTAGTAGAAACACTAGTCACTTCCTCAGAGGTGCTTCTCCCCACATTGTATTAGTAGCTCCCAGTTCAAAACCCTGGGTGGGGTCATCTGATTGGCCAGAGACTCAGTCTTATGCCAGTACCCTTATCTGCAATGAAGTCTAGAAAACATCTGGTATTCTCATTCTCTGCCTCTGTTGCAAGAGGCTGAACTCTAACCCCTAGCATGGTCGTTAGCAAGTCGTCTTTTATGAGAATGCCATGCAGAAGCTGGGCAAACAAATACAATAAATGCATCCTGTAATCAACATAGTTATGTTTCCAGGTGAGCTAAAGGACTAAAACAAATTTTGAATCTGATTTATCTCTTTTGACTTTAGTTGAAGAATATCAAGATTCTAGGTGCTTCAGCAATGACCTAGAGCAGAATCTGTGATCTAAAAGAAATTTTTATCATTCAATATAGAACTATGCAAGTAACATCTTTATATACATGACAATACCCAAGATGGAATTTTGAAGGGAATGGAAATATCTTTACCAATATTGAGTATTTTTGCTCTATGGATATATATAAATAATAAAAACAACACTAAAAACCAACAGCCAACAATTTTAATTTGTTCCTTCAACAAACTAACCAATTACGCTATGGTAGCAGCTAGTAAGAAAGAAATTGGAAAACTTGTGTCTGTAGTCAATAAGAGAGACAAATACGAATTAGCATATAGATAATCCATGCAACTTTTTTTGGCAGTACTAGGGATTTGAATTCAGGACCTCGTGCTTGCTAGGCAAGCACTCTTGAGCCATACCTCCAGCCCATCCACAGAACTTTAATCAAACTTAAAAATTGTGATGGTGAATGTGCCTGTTTGGTTGTCATATCTAAAGTCCTGTCATCAGATACCAAGCCCTTAAATTCTGCTTTAATTGTAATATGTGTGAAACTAAAAGAGGGTTAGGCAGCATGTATAAAACCATAGAGTCTGCAGTGCTTTCCATATTTATCATGAGTGTGTTAACTTCAACTGTAACAATTAGAAAGCCTAATTTCCCTTGCCTTAGAGTCTTTGTCCCTCATCAGTTGTTATTGATCTGATAGTTCATAGGGAACTCATGACTGTTCTTGTTGATTGTAATCAGCAAAGCATTTTAAATAGAAATTACTTGTTTGAGAACATCAGGTTGCAATTTTCAGCTCAGATTTTCTAGTTACTGAATAGCTTTAAGCTCATGTAGAGGAATATGGAAAAATGTTAGCATACAAAGCCCCCCCCAACCCCTCCCCATTCCAAAGTGTAGTGGGCAAAGATAATCTCTTAAAACTTCAGATTATAGCTACAGCAAAAATATGCACTTGGAATGACTGAGACTACTTTGCCATAAAATTTGACATTGCTTTTAATTGCATTTTTAACAATTATATTTGTTCTATTCCCAGGAATACAAACAAGTGATCCTAATGCTGTGGTCATAGGATTGGCACCAGAACATTTTCATTATCAAATTCTGAATCAAGCATTCCGGTAAATCTAGCTACTTATTTTTCATCTGATAATATACTCACCTTTTTCCTTCTTTAGTCTTTGCCACATAAGATTTTATGTATTTCACTTTCTGGCCACCTAGATTGCACACAGTGACAGACATTTTCATGTCTTTTACTTCATGGTCAACATCAAATAATATGGTTTTCTATTTTGAGTTGTTTTTTTTCTTTTTAATGATTGGTACGTTAAAATGTGATGCTCATTTGGATTTTTCTGCTTTATAGAATATTTTGGAGCAGAAATTCATAATAAAATTACAAGTGTTAAAGTTAGCAGTTTTATCTTTTATTATTACTCCTGTGGTTCTCTATCGACAATGCTAATCTCTAAAAAGTACAATCCAGTCTAATCTACTAAAAACAATAAATGTTTGTCTCTCTCCCATGAAAATCCAGATTATGGAAAAGAGTTGCACACTTGACTACACTTTCAAAGAAATTATTCTATGAGTGATGATGATAGTCTGCACTGGAATAGTGGTAGTAGGGGCGAAGAAGATTTGGGTTGTGTCCACACAACTTTTAGGTGACTGGGTTGAGGGGGTGAAGAAGAGTGAGTCAAGGAGAACATTCAGATTCCTAGCCTCAGCAAGTGAGTGACCACCCCACTTGGGCTTTAGGAAGTGAGGAGTGGTTGGAGCCATTTGACCTGTGAGACATCCAAGTGGAGATACTCCAGTGGCTATTAGTAGAAACACAGTTAACACATAAGACTATAAATCCCCAGTTCGTTGTGTGTTTTACCCTTGTGAACTTCCTTCTGCTCTTTCCAAAAGGAAGACTGTGTACTTATTCTCACACTAAGATAAATTGGGTCAGAATTTGCCTCAGATTCTGCTGTAGAGCAAGATTGTGACTTTTTCCCTTGAAGTTTTCGGTTTTCCAAACCTCTAAACAGTGTAATTGTTCTTAGAATTTATGACAGGTAAAGAGTTCAGAATGTTGGACAGGAATATATTGAACTAGCTTTAAAAAATATTGTTATTTTAATGGTCTAGTAAATTTTTTGTACTTAACTGCAAGAATGTTATAAAAATCATTTTTCTTTCCAGTACATGTATCAGTAAGAATCAATCTAACTTATACTTTATGTAGAATGCATTCTTTTTTTTTTTTTTTTTTTGTGGGACTGGGGTTTGAACTTAGCTCATTTTGGTCTGATTATCTTAGAGATGGGATCTCTCAAACTGTTTTCTTGGGCTGGCCTCGAATTGCAATTCTCCCAACCTCAGCCTCACTCGTAGTTAGTATTACAGATGTGGGCCAGCAGTGCCCAGCTCTAGAATTCATTTCTTGTCATATATATCCTAAGAATCAGAACATTTGCAGAAAACTTTAAACAATAATACCACTTTCACACATCTGGCTACATTGTTTGCTGTCTATCTTGAAAATGGTGTCTTCACAGAAAATTTCTGTGGCCAGAAATAACATTTTGAGGACAGCCACATCTTTCCTTGTGTGCATGGTCATTTTAGATCTCGATTAATGGAAACCACAGCTACTTAATGCACTTTCATTTGTGACTCTTCTTAGTCACTGCAATACTCAAGCCATTGTTTAAAATTCATTTATGTAGGTATTGCCTAAACATGCACTGCTATGCCAGGTTGCCTGAAAATATACTTCAGAATAGGTGGTATTAATTTTTTTTCCTTCACCCACTTCAATTATCCCGTTTTAGTGTCTTAGAGAGATTGCATGTATGCTCTGTAAGTAAGGCTTTCACCAATACCAAAGTCAGTGTTCATTTGAAATAGAGAACCACTGTTCTTACTTCCAAATTCACCTCTGCTACCTTTTATTCATTCCTTTAGCCACAGAATTCAAGGAGAAGGTATTGATTGATTTTAGCTGGTAATTTGGAATGGACGTATTTAATAGGAAGTTGGAGGTCTTTTAGATGAATACTAGACTCACAGTAATAAAAATGTATGTTGACATAATACTGACTTTGTAATTGCTCGGATGCTGTCTAATTAGTACACTTTCCTAACCATATTGATTTTTTTAAATATGACATTTTAAAGCATTACAGTATACTTATAGGTCAACTCTAATTTCACAAATGCACTTAACAGCTGGATGGAGAGTTAACAAGGATTTTAGGTCTCACCCTTCTTTGCATATTGATGTTTCCACAGAGACTGTGCCTTCCAACCAGTAACTGCAGCTGTTTGAATTGTATGTGGCAAACAGACATCTCAAATGAACCACTGATTAAATTACTATTCAGGTTGATAATGAGGAGAAGCATTGGATGTTAAAGCCCATTGCATAGCTGCCTTGATGCCAGTTTCAGGGGCATGTTGCATCAAAGCAAATACATCAACCCTCATATTATACTGCCTCTTATTACTGTGTTTTTAATGAGCTGATCCCCAATGCACAGTGCATACACACATATGTCCTACATGCCTGAATGAAATTGAGAATGATTTTAAAGAATTGATTTGGAGAAAGGATATGAGCCAGTTGTAAAGAGTGAATATGATTTGGGTTTGGATTATCTAAAACATTCAAACCCTGAGAGCCATTGGGTTTTTCCTTTTACCTTATGCTAAGATATAAAGAATAACATATAGTGAATTTTCATATACCTTTCAACCATTTTAAGAGGAGAAATTATCATTACATTTGATATCCCCTATAAATGCCTCCCCAGTTTTCACTCAGGACACATTAGGACTATGAATTTAGTATTCTCATTTTCACGCATTTCTTTATATTTATAATACATATGTAGGTATTTCTAGGCAGTATATACTACTATTTTGTATGTTTATACTACTTATGTTTGCTTTATTCTTTAGAAATATTGTATAATTCATCAATATGCATATCCATAGTCCTAGTTCATTGATTTTCACAGCAGTGTTATTAGCTTATGGCAGAGTCTTTTTTTAATCTTCTGATCTGAGTTAGAAACACAAAGATTGAGCATTTAAGTAATAGATCCATTATAATTAAATTTGATATCACTATTGGGGGAAGACTATGTAGGCAAATAGATCACTTAATAATCTAACCTGAACTTAGCATTAACAAGAGTAAAAAATATCTAATCACAAAAATAATATGTCTTAATTGTGGAAAACTTGAAATGCTCAAAAAGGAATAAACTAAAAAGGTATTACCTAGTTTTTCCACCTAAAGAGAATCAGAGATGTTTTAGCATATAGCTAATTTATTTGTTTTTATGCACACACATGTTTATACAAAAATGAGAATGTAAACCCTATATATACTATGTGGTGTTTTGCTTTTTAAAGACTTAACAACAGATCATGCATGTTTTCTATTTCTTTGTTATATTCTTAATATTACTCTGAAACATATTTGAGTCCTAAAGCTTATTCTCCTTTAAGAAACAATAAATTGGAATCTCTATTCCCATTTCCTACATGAGGAGCAGGAAATGTTTCTCCCTTTTTCCCATATCCCCTCACTTTTATCCTGTTATACTAGGTTCATTTCCTAATAAATTTTACTATGACTTTCATTCCAAAAAGAAAAAGAAACAGTAAATTATTTTTAGCATGAGTTTCCTATTGTTGGCAGTTTCTAGGCTTTTGAAGTTAGTTTTAAATTTCTGAGACTATGGTGAACAATATTTATATTTTTCCTTACCATTTTTTAGAAGTATAGTTGCCAAAAGAGTTTCTGTTTTTGTTTTTGTTTTTTGGTGGTGGTGGGGAGCCTGTGTGGAGTTGCTTAATCTAGAAAAGATTTGAAGGGTTTTTTCCCCCTAAATTAAAAGCAACAGCTATCCAACTTCTAAGAGGAATTGTTAGAATGTTGATACTAGAAGATAAAGGGCACGACTTTCACATTTAAACACTAAGAGAAGTCTGTTTAAGAATAATGCTTTGAAGTTTTGTTAAAACACCTTTCCTATAATTGTTACAAGTTCTGAGTGTCCTCCAGTGTGTATCAGAGATGTACAGGTTTTGGTTTGGAGAAAAAGATTCTTATTATAAATGGTTTCTATTGAATGTTCAGTTGCTTGGTTGCAGGTATATCTTTTGTTAAGAAAATGAAAGGCTTAATTTCTCTAGTATATTTAATTCTTTAGTAAAGAAGAGAAAGGGAGAAAAATAAATAGTGACGGTCTTTGTTATTACTGCATTTGTATGGTAAATTCTGAATCTTTTCTAAGTATTTACAGCCCAGGGCAGGAGGAATTTCAAAACAGTGTGTCAGCAGAGCCAAATTAGAAATGTTTCTGTTGACTTTTGCCAGTTTTGAAAGAGCTGACTGCTGTGCATTCTTCTTAATTAAAGTCCAGGCAATAAAAATAAAACACTTTGGACATGAGAAATTGTTTCAAGTCTTAAGAATTTGGGATATTTAAAGCATTCCATTAGTATAGGCAGTAAAAGAACTTTTTGTACAAATTTGAAAATCACAGAAAACAGAATTGAGTTGACTATCACAGTCATTGCCATTATTTTGCAATTTGGGGATTTTCTTTTATGATCAAGGGAGCTCTTGCTACTCTAAAGGTTTTAAGGGGAATAAGCCACAAAAATACATTCTGTTAGTGATTTTTCTAAATGAAGGTGTAATGTGTATAGTTAAGTACCCAGATTCTACATATATAACCAAAATTGTACAACAGATGCCTTTGTAACCCCTGCTATGCTCACAGTGAAAGCTCCCTTTGCCACTCAGTGTCACTCCTTCCCCACAGTTAACCCCTGCTCTGACTTTTATCACTATTTCCAGTTCTTGATCTTCATATGAATGAAATCATGTAATTGTCACAAATTCTTAACTGCTTTTGAGATTTATTCAAGTTGTTGCATGTAGCAGTACTTTTTTTGTTTTATTTCTTTTTTTATGCTGTATTTGTGTAGTAGTATTCTGTTGTATGAGTTTTTCACAATTTATTCTGTTGTTAGTGGGCATTTATTTTGTTTCCAGTTTTGCTCTTATAAATAAATTTGCTCTAAATGTTCTTCTACATGTCCTTGG